TAAAATCTGGAGAGAAAAACTTGAAGCTATCTATGAGAGATTCTGATGTTAAATTTATGCAAACATATGCCTTTTAATTGTTAAACATGTATAAAGCAGTCTTGTTATTAAAAATTGTTCTTGTTCTTGTTCATATTCTTGTTCAAGTTATTATGTGTCTTAAAATACTTTTTCTTGAATATAGTACTTAGGAGGAGTTTATAGATTTCAACCTTGGACTATTATACTCAGGGGAGCTTACAAACCTCATACCCTAATGTTGCCAGGAAAATTGTAAATGCCCAACATTATTCTTTAAACACTTATGTTTGTCATCATAAAAAATGAGGAGATTGTTAGAACAAGATTTGTTCATGATATATATCTTTTGGGTTTTGATGATAAAAAAGTATTGAAATAACAATGGTGTTATCTAATGTGTGTTCCAAGTATGAAGGCTCTAAAGCTTAAGGAGAATACATTCAAAATCTGATATAAGGACTCACTTAAGAGAAGCTGAGTTACTAGCCTCTCGTGGTTCAGAATCTGAAGAATACTTTCTAAGTGATGTCTGGCGTAGACTTTGAAGCTGAAGGCCTCAACATCAGAAGAGCAACATATTATCTCTACACTTGGTAAATGTATCAGCTTCTGGTGAATATTCAGAGTTAGTAATAAAGCTAAAGTAATTCGTACTGCAGAAAGCAAATTGCATTGTTAAATCAGTTTGTCAGCTAGAGTCTATGTTCACAAGGCTCAAGAAGAGTTGGTATGCTTTACGGATATCTACTCTCAATGGATCTATAGTACAAGATTACATGGAAGACACAATGGTTAAATAAGTTACATAATGGATTAAGATCTTTTGGTGTATCTATCTTCAACATCTCTTGTACTATGGAGAAGCAAAGATACTTGTACAAGTTATCTCTTCCAACGACTAGTCTTCTACAACTGTTATATAAGTAGCCGAAGATTCAATCTGAATTTTCAACAAGGAACAAGGAAAAAAATAGAGAAGGAAAGCCAAGAAGGATAAGAGTGTTTCACGTTTCTATTTGGATGAAGGAATAACAAGATCAACAATAAGCAACACAATCAAGTATGTAGAAATTATGTTATATGTTGTAAATTGTACAAAGCCTTAAGATTTCTTAAACATTGAATATCTTAGAAATCTTAAGTGCTTAAGGTCTTTGTTATGGTGATTACCCTGTACCTTTGATTTTGTATCAAGTACACATTGTTCTCTATTTTACTAAATATGTTGTTTAATAGTTTAGATAAAGTCTCTTGTTATTTGCTTGAGCATCAAAGTCTCTTCCTGAGAAGTTTGAGCCAAGTAAGTCTCCTGCTATATGCTAGAGCATTGAAAGTCTTGATTAATTGTCGATTAAGCAAATAAGTCTTGGAACGTGAGTCTGAGCAGAAGTCTTGTACTTGAGGGTATGACCAAAAGTCTTGGGTTTGTGGAACCTGAGCAAGGAAGTATTAGGATGCAGTCTAAGCAAGGAAGCCTTGAGCCTGAGGGGATTAAGCAGGAAGTCTTGGGTTCGTGGAACCTGAGCAAGGAAGTCTTAGGCAGCGGCTTGAGCAAGGAAGTCTTGAGTTTGAGAAGCTTGAGCAAGGAAGTCTTGGATTTATGGAATCTGAGCAGGAAAGTCTTAGGCTTCAGTCTAAGCAGGAAGTCTCAAACCTGAGGGGTTTAAGCAGGAAGTCTCAGGCTGAGGGTCTGAGCAAGAAAAGTCTTATGCTTAAGTGCATAAGCGATTGTAATCATGTTTTGATTATAAGTGAAAAATCTCTTGTGGTGCGAGGGGGCTGGAGTACTCTCAATTTGGGAGGAACCAGAATAAATATGTGTGTTATTTATCTTTTTATTTACTTATGTTAACATTCCGCTGCAACGTATTAATTAGGATCTGAACATCAGTTTAGATTATGAACACTGATCAGAGGCAAAGTTAAAAAAACGAAAAACACAACTCAACCCCCATTTCTTGTGTATTTTTCTCACCTTCAAGGTCAACGTCTGAAGGTCAGAGTCTGAAGGAGTCAGTCTCTGAAGACCAAACTTTAAAGAAATCTGTTTCTGATGATCAAAACCTGAGCCAGTTAAAGCGCAAAGATCAAGGTGACTCTGATGGGTCACTATCAACCTCTGAGTATACTTTTCATGTGAAGACCTAAGCTCTATTTTCTTCATAGAGTTTACGGGGATACAAATGCTAATTCTTTTTTAAGCAAATGGTTTTCAAACTAGCCTTCACCAATCTTGACTATTTGGCGAAACATCCCAACATCTATTTTAAAGCTTCTCAAAGACTCTCTATGTTGGATCTTTAACAACTTTTTTCCTTCTCTATTTAAGGAGCTAAAGACTTGAAGAAATACATATATGAATTGGCACTCAAAGAGAAGTTACTCTGTCAAAACAAAAGCATAATGTGAACTTAGGATTTTCTTATCCTTGTAAATATTAGATATCCCTAAGTCTTAAAAAGAGTATATTTGCATTGTATTCTTTATACACATCTGATTGTATATAAAGTTTATTTTATCAAACAACTATTTATTTGTTAGCTACATTGTTGGAAGTCTCTTACTAAATGTTTAAGCATTTGAAGTCTCTTTCTTATGTGCTTGAGCATAAAATTATCTTACTTTGTGTTTGAGCATCAAAATTCTTTTACTTGTGTGCTTGAGCATATAAGTTTCTTACTTTTTGTTTTAACATTGGAAGTCTCTTTCTTGTATGCTTAAGCATAAAAGTCTCTTACTTTGTGTTTGAGCATTGTAAGTATCTTGCTTATGTGCTTGAGCATAGAAGTATCTTATTTTATGTTTGAGCATTGGAAATTTTTTGCTTGTGTACTTGAGCAAATTGTAATCTTGTGTGATTATAGTGAAAATATCTTGTAAGTAAAATGGTCTGGATTACTCTTATGTTATGAGAGGAACCAGGATAACTCTGTGTTATTCTTCTTTCTTGAATTTCATATCCACTGCCTACCTCTGATTGAATAAGATTTTATACCTTGGAGTTTAGAATTGGACCAAAAAGTTTTAATAAAAAGAAAAAGTCAACATAACCCAACCCCTCTTGTGTTTTTCTTAACTCCGCACTTCTCCATACATCTTCATTTGATTCACCGGTCTTGTTACTCTGGTGAAGAAATCATCCATGCTTTCATTTTCCTTCCATATGAAGAAGCTCATACGTTCTTTTGTAAGTTTGTAACCTCGCCTCTTTCAACTTCTCAACACCTCCAAACGATTTCTCCAAGATGTCACATACTTCCATTGTTGAGTCTACATCACCAACTTTCTCAAGGTTTTATATATCAATGCACCGATTATAGAGATATCTTTATAATATTTCTTCCTCAAATCTTTATGTGCATCATTTTGTTCATGCATAGCATCTCCAACTGATGTCACTCCATTCTTCACAAGATCTCAAATATCTTGATAGCAAAACACAACCTTCATCTACTTACATTAATTCTCATAATTCTTACCATTCAAGATCAAAATATTTGTTGGAAAATGCTCTTTTAAATGAGAAGTCATTACATTATGCTTCCAAGAATCACAACCAGTGCTTTAGATGACAAATGTTGGAATCAAACCACAATCTTGGAGATAATCTGAATCAATGTTTCTGATTGATCACACCTCGTTCTTCACTCGTCACTTGAGTGATTCAACCACCCCTTGGTTGCAAGATGATTATGCCGCACAAAGAATTAATGAAAGAAGATGATTCGAGAGAAAAAAGGAGAAGATAAAAAGTTAGGGTTTTGGGAGAAGAGAAGAAGATTTTATTCAATTCCAACTAAATTGTTCACTTGCTGTATTTTTCAAATAAGGATGTCTCTCTATTTATAACTGAGATTACTTATAGACCACGTAATCTCTAACTATCCCAACTGTTACAAAATAAATACTAAGTTTTTAACTCTGTCAAGGTTAACTCTTTCGACAAGTATAAACTACACTCAACTACTACTTTATTGATTACATTCGAATTCGATACTGTCGAATGCTTAACACAAAGAATGACATATTTAATATGGACTAGTACAACAATCCCAATCATATGATTATCACTCAAGTTAAAGTTGACCTTGAAGGACCTAACATGAAAAAAGTGAACTTAGAGAATCGTTAAGGTCGAGATTAACTCTGGAAGATCATTTAGATCTCAGAAGAACATTCATGTTAAAGCTCCATAGAATTTTGGAAGATCATTTAGATCTTAGAACATTCATGTTAAAATGCCCTTGTAATCCTAAAGATAAAGTTGTCTTCACCAAATTATTACCCTCATATCACACGTCTTTAACTACAAGGAACATATGAACAATATAACCTTAATTTTAGAGAATACTGTAAGAGAGACATGTCAAATATCAAAATATGACGTAATGTTCAAACATGACACATAAGATTATGAGAGGGCAGTGATCATTCATTCATTCCAAATCTAAAATTATGTATTTCTATTAGAACCACCCGCATTCATTTTAGATTAAGAGAGGGTCAAAATAATTTATTCATAATAACATAAATAAGTATAATTGAGTTCATTCTATAAAGTCACTCTTGATGACAATGTTAGTGTCATGTACAACTAACTATCCACCATACTCAATCATTTTAATTTTTTTTGGTCAAGTCATGTTTTAACTTTAATTTACTCTATTAACAAAAATCTATTAAATTTGTTAGACACAAATTAGATTAAATTAATTTGTTATTGTATTTGTACTGCATAAAATAATAACTGAATATTTTCTTTTTCAGAAAAAAAAAAGTTAGGAAAAGTAAAAGGAAAATGTGTGTAGGCAAAAGCTGCAGAAGAAAAAGTAAAGAATTTGCTTTTGTAGGAAGAAAATTATCTAAGTGTGGTTAGAATTTTCAAACTTTTTTGAAAAACAACATCGAAAGAATCTAAAGAAGAAGAAGAACCACAAATTTCAATTTTCCATTTCCACATTCAGTTTTGATCGACGGCGATGTCTCAGGCTATAAGGCAGAGACGCTCTCAGCCGTCGGATCCACCGGCGCCATCGTCTTCTTACTCGAAGCTCGACAAAGCAGCGAAATCGGACGACAAAGATGAAGGGTTAAAGTGGGCATTGCCGTTTGTTGCTTTGGGATTGTTGAGGTATATGAGTGCTACTTCTAATATCATCCATGATTGTGATGAGGTTTTCAATTACTGGGAGCCTCTTCATTACCTTCTCTACAAAACTGGCTTCCAAACATGGGAATATAGGTGAAGAAAATACTCTCTCTCTCTTACTATTTTGCATTTGTTTGATGTTGATTTTGTTTCCTTTTTATGCTGATTTTGGGGTTGTGTTGCAATTTGCTTTTGTTAGGAAGATTTTACTTTCTTTTTTTTTGAGATGGGTTATGGCGAAGTGAAAATGTTTTGATTTTGATTGTTTTTATGTGGGTTGTTTGTAGACGAGGTTATGGGAGGGAAATTAAATTTAGGGGGAAAATGTCACTTTGATTATGCTCTTGTTAGGTGTTGTTTATAACCTATATGAAGCATGCACACCAGAAACACGACACTGGCATTAGTAATACTTTGAAAAAATGAATAAGTTAAACTTAATCACATGTGCTGGTGTCAGTATCAGACACTGACATGGACACACATTTTTTCAGAGGTGTTGGTGCTTCAGGGTCTAAAAGTGAAGAGAAATGAACTAAAAGAAGTAGTAGGAACATAAAAAAGCATGTGTTGGACATCATTGTGGTGTGGTGCATGTGGTAGATAACCGATCCCATAGCGTCTGGTTTGGGATTCAACATCGAGTCTTGACCGGGGATATTTTGGGTTTAGTTTAAGCTATTTTTTTGCTATGGTATTGACAATGGAGTTGTGGTGTGTTTGTTTTGCAGTTCACAATTTGCTCTTCGGTCATATTTGTACCTTTTATTTCATGAAATAGTGGCTCGACCAGCTTTGTGGTTGTTTGCTGATGAAAAAGTAAGATTTCACCCGTGCTTGGTTATTGATTTGTTATATAGATTAAAATTTTCCCCTTTATATGCTCTTCACGACACCTTTGTCTTTTACTGTTGTAGGTTAGAGTGTTCTATGCTGTAAGATTTTTTCTTGGTTTTCTCTCGGTTGTCACAGAGACCGTTCTTGTGGTAGCTCTTTCGAGAAAGTATGGAAAACGACTTGCTTCTTATACACTTGCTATGCTGTGCTTAGCCAGCGGCTGTTTCTTTGCTAGCACAAGTAAGTGAGCTTTTGGCATACTTTTCTTATTGTGCATACTTTGCCTTTGATGATAATTCTCAACCTCACTTAAAGTAAATTGACAAATAAGTAAAGATTGACCAAGTATTCTTTATTTCATGGTTCAGGTTTCTTGCCAAGTTCGTTTTCCATGTATGCAATCTCTCTTGCTTCGGGTTTATTTCTTCTTGATAAACATGCTGCAGCAGTTGCTGTTTCTGCTATTGGTGTGATACTTGGCTGGCCTTTCTCAATCTTGGCTTTCCTTCCGGTGACACTTTATTCTTTATATATAAAATTCAAACGGGCATTTATTGCTGGGGCTGTCACATCAGTAATTCTTCTTGTAAGTCAGATTCCTCCTTTCATGTTGGCCTACTGTGGCCTGTAAATTATGTTTATACCCAATATTTTGAAAACCAAACCGGAGATTGAACCAGTGAGACCTCTAGGTCATGATTCAATTGATTTAATCAGTTCAACAACGGTCGCATCTGATGACAAATGCGGTTGAACTGCTCAACCTTGGTTCAATCTGGATCCTGTTCGGTTCAACTGCAATATAATCGGGATCAAACCAACCGACGAACTGGTCGATTCCTGTTTCAACCAATTGAAGATTGGATTGGTCTAGTTTTTAAAACATTTCTTATACCATTGAATGTTATATATAATATAATATATAGGTTTGTTTGCATTTTATATTTTTATATTGTTAATTTGTAACCGTTGTAATGTTTTGCAGGCATTGTCAGCAGTTACGGATTATAACTACTATGGAAGATGGACTTCATCTGTTTTGAATCTTCTAATATACAACGTAGCTGGAGGTGGGGAAAGCCATCTTTATGGGACTGAAGGACCTCTTTTTTATCTAAAGAATGGATTTAACAATTTCAACTTTTGTTTTGTTCTTTCTATGCTGTTCTTGGGATTTTGGCCTATTGTTAAGAAGAAATATGGGAGAGACCTACTGATTGTGATATCTCCTTTATACATTTGGCTGGCTTTTATGTCTCTGCAGCCACATAAAGAAGAAAGGTTGGCAATTTTTAACCATGGTCTTCTTTTACAATTTTAAACATGTTGTGTTATTTGAAGAACAGTTTCAATACACTTGCACATTGTACACATAATGTATATTATTTTACCGAATGTTAGGTGATTAAATGGATATCAATCTCTTGTTTCCACTACTTTTGGTTTATGCAAGTCTGCGTCCTGTTATTTGCAATCTGTAATATTGTTTCTTCTGTTGCGAAGGATCTTGGAACCTTATTAATTGGCTGGCTAGCTTTTAGTAATGACGCATTACATTTTAAGTTGCAGCGAACTCAATTTCCGAAAGGTTTACACTATTGCAACTTTGGGATGAAATTTGGAATACGAAAAACTTTAGTTTAGTATCACAAGACATCTCCAATAATTGAGAACATATCTTCTAGATCTTGAGTATTATTATTACTACCACTATTGTTAGGCCTATCATTAGTTAAAAATCAATTGTTGAAACCTAATCACTTTTCTGTGTGTTTATCTCTCTGGAAGGTTGTTCATTAAGGGGATTCAAACCTCGTTCATCACTTTTTAAGAGAGTTGTTTATTGCACCCCCACTTTTGGATAAATCTAAGCTAACACTGTAAGGTCTCTTTGATGATCTTGGTTTAGTTGTCTTCTGTATTGGAGTAGTAGCTATTAAGTTAACTGTGCACTTCAGAGGATAAACAGTTGAAAACAGGATACTCATTTAGTGTATATTTGAATTTGCTTATTTGATTTTACCTATTGATATAAGTACTTGTGAGACTATTAGGGAGAATTTATGGAAACAACTTATGACATGTCTAATAACCGTTTTCAAATAAGTTCTGTAAACTCTTCGGGATGATATGAAAGCAAATTATAGCTTATAGTTTAACTTTATTTTATCTTTTGTTATAGAAATAGTTTAAAGATAAACACTTCTATGATAAGCGCTTAACTAAGCTATTTATCCAAATAGAACTTTAATATAATTCTGTCAGCTTGTGAATTCGAGTGAAATAATTGTGATATTAATATTTTATTGTCATTATAAAATCTACAGTTACACAGATGCAAATTACTGATATTTTTTGGTCCATCCTTCTTCCTATATCCAGGTTCCTTTATCCAATATATCCACTTATTTGTGTTACTGCTTCTGCTGTCATTGAGAGCTTTCCTGATCTTTTCCGTGACAAGTATGATTCATTTGATACTTCTATAATAGTGAGGGTGAGTTATCACTTTCTTTATATATCTGATAATATGGAAACAATAAGAACTTTCTGGATTTGACTCTTGCTAAATGCAGATAGCCAAATTTCTGAGGCCGGTGGTTCTGAGCATTATATTATATTCCTCTCATGCTCGTACATTTTCTCTGATTCACGGTTACTCAGCTCCTATAGAGATTTACAAGATTTTAGAGCACCATGACGATGTTGCAAATGGTGAGGATCAAACTTTTGGTGGCTTTGGTTCTGTTTTATCTATTTATTTTTATTTTTTTAAGTGTGCAAAATTAACCGGAATACTAAAGTAGTAATTAGGTAATGTTTCATGCTGATTCACTAAAGCCTGCAATTTGCAAGGAATGCTACTATGTCTCCAAAAGAATTCACTTAAAAAGGAAAGAAAATGACACTTAAAGATAACCATGCTGGAAAAAATAAGTAATAAATTATGTTCATGATAAAAGTAATTTGTTGTAGCTTGAATTCTAGCTGTTATTTGAGTCTACATAACAATTTTTTATCTCATCAAGTGATCCCACTCTGATGTTAAATAGCGACGCTATTGCACTATAGTGTAGCGGAATTTGAACAAATTGATATTGTTCCGCAAATGCTATTGATTAAATAACCTGGTCAAATAGCGGATTAAGTTGTGCGGTAACATTTTTGTGTAGCACACTTTGACCAAACTGCTATCATCTGTGATCTGCCAATTTACAACACCAACCCTCATTGTGCTTGCTATAAGTAAAGTTCTTTTACAAAACTATATGTGTCAGTGTGTCACAGGCTCAACTTTGTTTGCTTTCCTTCTAATCTGTTATATAGTATATTAGTGGACTCTCTCAGTAGGCAATTGTATTTTTGCCATTACCTTCTAATGCAATTAAAATTTTGATAGTAGTAGTCCAAAACAGGGAAATTGTGGGACAATTTTGTATACATTAATTCAACAACTACTCTCGAACAGAGTTACAGTTCACAATGACAACTTATATAAAACTGGCACAAATTACACACAATCAGAAAGACAAGGACCAATTTGGTTCTTCCCAAGAATTCCAGAGTCTTGGATGTCTCCCCTCCCAAATGTTGAGAGTCTTGGATCTCTCCCCTCCCAAATGTTGAGAGTCAGGTCTCTCCCTATAACCACTCAACAATTTCTCGATAATAAACTTTTACTTGTCTTCCCCTATTTATTTCTTTGTCGCTTTAGCAGGTGTTTGGATGGTTTTCTTGCCCTTTTTTTCTTGCTGCTGTAGTTTGGAGGGGCTCTTCTCTTTACTTGGTTTTTGGTTTCTGTCTTTTACCGCTTTGCTCTCCTGTCATGTTTCCACAATCGTGATTCACAAGGGCATTTTCTACCCCTATCTCTATTTTTCCCATTTCGATCTCTTCCCAACCTTTCTCTTCCGCTGTCACTGTGATTTAGATGATTTCCCAGGGTCATCAACCACTCCAATTCAAACTCGGGTTCCTCTTCTTCATTAGATATAGGCAAGGTGTCCCGATATTCCGGCTTAAAACGCCAACTTACCCGTTGACTCCACCAGCAGTGCAAGACCATTGGCGAGCACGACTAGTGAGTAACTTGAATGCCTCTGTCAGTTTCCCTTCCCCGGGTGTTTCACTCTTTTCAAAATGTTCCTCAAAGCATAGCACCCACCAATATGCATCTTCTCCATCACACATCCGAAACTCCATTTCCAGCATGACGAACCACAACTCCAAGATTGATGCTCTGATACCAGGTGATAGAACTGGTACAAAACAGGGAAATCGAGGGACACTTTTCTGTATACTAATTCAACAACTACTCTGGAATGGAGTTACAATTCACAATAACAACTTATAGAAAACTGACAAATTACACACAATCAGAAAGACAAAGACCAATTATGCTTCTACCAAGCATTCAAGAGTCTTGGATTGCTCCCTTCCTAAATAAATGTTCGGAGAGTTGGGTCTCTTCCAATTACCACTCAGTCTTCCTCTATTTATTCTTAAAGTAAACACCCAAAATTAATAAAATGTAATTGCTCCTTATAATATAATAACTTCCTAGTAATATTTTTTAAGAATCTAATGGGTATTGCACTGACATGGTACAATAATTTTACACTGACATCTAATGGAAATTCATCACTCAGCCATATCAACCATTAATTTAAATATTATAGTCTGATGTGGCAGGATACATGATGGTGATTGGTTGACAGTGTAGTGTAAAATCAAGGCATATCCCCATTTCTCATTTACAAATAAGAGGTCTTGTATTAATATCATTTTGTTACTTTTTGTTGCAGGTTCTGTACTTTGTGTTGGAAGTGAATGGCATCGCTACCCATCATCATTTTTCGTCCCAGATTTTGTGGGACAAGTTCGATGGATTGATGATGGTTTCGGAGGTCTCCTTCCTTTCCAATTTAATTCTACCCTAGGCGGGACCACTGCAGCACCACCATACTTTAACAACAAGAACATAGCATCAAAAGAGCAATTTGTAAGTGGCTATAACTGCATGTCTGTTTCTTCCAAGTTTTAATACTTTGAAACAAACTCTCGCTGTAGTTCTTTGGCTCTTGTCATTTTTTGTTAGGAAACTGACTAGTGATAAACATTGATTTGGCAGCTCCATGATATCGATGACTGCACTTTCCTTGTTGAGCTGCAGCTAAAGCGACCTTACCTGACACGTGGTAGCGACATGTCAACATGGGAGGTAATAAACATTCATGAAATTTTTCATATTAAATTCTAATTTCTTCTTCTAAATGTGTTCTGATATATAATGTATGTATATTTCAGACTATTGCTGCATTACCTTATTTGGATAGGGAGCTTTCGCCAGCTTTGTATAGGTCGTTTTTCATCCCTTACCTCTGGCAAGAAAAGAACGTTTTCGGCATGTATAAACTGCTCAGAAGAGTAACCAAATGATTCTTTTCGACCGGAGAAAGAACGTTTGAATAGTCCTTGATTATGGTGGTGGGACTTAACATGAAAAATACAATTTTGTTAGACAGTGTGATGTAGGATTTTTCCCATGCTGTTGTTGAGTATTTTGATTTAGTTCTAATCTTCACTTAAATGTTGAAGTCTAAGGTTACTCCATTTAGGACCATCTAAATAGTAAAATTTGATTAAACGTCTTTATAGTGCATTTGCACAAAATTTAATTCTGATAGTTTTTAAATATTCAATTCATGTTTTACTGTGTAGAAAAATCATGTTATTTCTGAATATAGTAATAAAGTAAAAAGTAAAAGTGAAAATGGGTAATCAAACCTGTGTTTAGCCATTATAATTTCTTAATGTGTAGAAAAATCATGATATTTTGATAGTATATTTTCTGATGTTCTATTAATACTAATGGTTTTGAAGATGATGGTTCCGAGCAATGTCAATAGGTAATGTAGGTTAGCCAACAATTAACAAATTTTCAGAAAGAGATTTTACAAAGATGAAGAATTTTTTAAGTATCACTTTTTGATTTTTTACGCATATCTAAAAAGCTAATCAATATAATTATTTTTCATACAATAATTTTTCTTTTATTTATAATATCCCTAATTATTTATTATATTCATTTTTTTTTGTAATAATTATTTAGGGATAATTTTGATAAAAATGTATTTAATATTATCTTGAACTTTACAAATGACAATTAAAAAGTACCAAAAAATTATTTAAAAAGTGACACTTAAAAAGAAATGGATGGAGTAGTTGATTAAGAATGTCAATATAAAGATGTTTTCATTCAACTGTAATTAACACTTTTAACACCATATAAAAATACTCTCAATCTTATGCCTTTGCAGATTATCGAATTTTTTTTAATATAACTAACTTTTTCAAAAAAAAAATCAAACAAATTGATATTTCAAAAAATGTATCAAAATAACTATAATTCAACCTTGGATCGCCACATCAATTGTCGACTCAGGCTAAACTGATTGAAATCGCCGTATGGATTGACGACAGTGTCTACATGGCATGGGCTGAGTCGCCATTTCGTTTGGCTACTTGACCCAATTACTTTTTTTCTTTTTTTCTTTTAGGGTTTATAAATTTATTTTAGTTTAAATAAAAAAAATTAAATTCAATATAAATTATTTTAAAAATATATAAATATGAATAGGTTTAATTAAAATATTTATACAAATTGATATATTTTAATTAAAATATTTTGTTATACATTTTATAAATTAATAAGTATAGTTTAATATAAATAAACTTAAATTGATTTAAGTTTAATTAGATTTAAAATAATAAATATAAGTTTAAAATATATTTTAAATATATTAGTGATTTAAAATAAAAAATAATTTAAATTGATTTAATTAATAAATATTGTTTTTAAATTATAAATGAATTTAAATAAAAAATAAAAAATGATTTAAATATAATTTTTAAACACAATAAAAATAAATAGGTTTAAATTTTAAAATATAATAAATATATGATTAACCATTGACTTTTAAAGTATATAAATTTTGTAAGGGTATTTAAGACATATCATATGGGGCATGTACTATTTTATTTTTCTATAAATACGACTGCAAACACATATATGTTTCCACAACATTGTATATCAAACGACTGAAGTGTTAACAATTTTGAGTGGAGTCTAGAATGTCTGCATTTCTAAATCAACGTTCTTCGTCGTCGTCATCAACATCTGAGGAACCCTTTCCAACACTCGATCTAATGAAAAGAAATGCCCTAGTTTTTTTCCAGCAACAAAGCCTCCGATGAAGGTGCTCCTGTGGAATACGCAGATGTTGGAGCACTTGCATAGGGAACTGAACCGCTAGCTAGAAGGAGATATTGCTTCAGGAGAAAAGATTAGGAAAATTGAGAGGTTGGTCGAGGAGGCTGGGAGAAACGGAGTTACTCGTGAATGGAGAAAAATGGAAAATGATGCTGGTGTCCTTGTGGTGATGTTAACACCAAAGAAGATAATGTTGATGGTCGTGATATTGTAGACGCCTTGGTGCATTGTTCTATTTTATGTCTTTATGTTGTTGTTATTTTTGGAATGTTGTTGTGATATTAAGTTATATTTGTTTAATTTCTGTTGCTTGCTAATTGTAATCGGTTAAGTATGCTTTAAATGGAATGAAATTTGCTATTGATTTAAAGGGACACGGTTACATATGAAACTATGATCTGCTGCTTGATCTTATGTTAGGACATTTTGTACGATTGTGTCCTGGTTGCCGACACGAACTACATAATCTTACCATCTTGTCTGTGGCGTCCATCTCTGTTCGAATGCGCGTGCTGTTAGGGCGACCCTTTTTCTTTCGGCGCATCAAGTCATTATGCCAGACAATTTCGTCTTCGTATTGAGGCTAATAGTCCTCTTTTGCCACCACTTGAAAGCTACATGTGTAGACATTGCATAGACTTATCACTTGGTGAACTGCAGAAAGAAGGTTGGCTGGGTCCTGGCGCGCCTTCGAACATGTTGCTATAACATGAGAACAAGGCATACGGAATGCCTGAAACTTCCCACAATCAAACCAGCTCTTATCCATTTTAACACGATAACATCCCCTAGGCCTTACTTCATTGTGATCAATCGACTCGACAACACTGAACCAACCTTTATTACGATCAAAGATTGTGACCACATGTGTGTTGGCTTTGGCAGGTTCGTCTTTCATGAATTTCATTGAAGTATCACTATACAACTGGCTCGATTGTAATACTGAACCCCCCTTTGTACGTCTTCTATCAAAGAGTGCGCCTAGCCTAAAATATTTTTCCTTTACCATGGCAGTTATCGGTAGGTTTCAGATTCCCTTGAAAACATAATTCATTGATTCAACGAGGTTAGTTGGCATGTGGCCCCATCACACCCCATTGTCGTATGCCCGTGTCCATTTCTCTTTTATCAATGTTATCATTCCATCTTAATGCATCCGCGTTTGTTAGTCTGATCTCGTCACGGTAGTATTTGAATGTGGGTTCTGTTAGTGCATATCCTGCGTTCACAACCTTCTTTCGTAGAGTTTTGTCTTTGATTTTCCGCATGAAATTTTGGGCGATATGTCTTATGCAATAGACGTGGGTCGAGGGAGGATCCTGCCAACCGTTATCAAGGTTGTTGTATGCACTCTTGATTGATGGGTGTCTATCAGAGATCAAACATAAGTTAGGTTGGGGAGACACGTAAAAGCGGAGATTTTTTAAGAAAAAACTCCAACCCCCAGCAGTCTCCCCTTCAACTATAGCGAAGGCTATTGGAAAAATGTTGTTATTCTCGTCCTATGCCACAACCATGAGTAGGGTGCCCTTATATTTCCCGTATAACCATGTGCCGTCAATTTGAATTATAGGTTTACAATATGCAAACCCTTTGATGCATGGTTCAAACGCCCAAAAGAGTCTGTGAAAAATTCCATTTCCACCAACGCAAGTCCCGTCTGGTGTACACGCAGGCATTATCTCCAATATGGCAACAATCCCTAGAGAGTAGTGTTTAAGAGCCACCAGGAATTTTGGAAGTTCCTTGTACGACTCCTTCCAATTTCTAAACACCCTTTCAACTGCTTTAGTCCTAGCAATCCAGGCTTTTCGGTATGAAGGAGTGTAATTGTACCTTTGAACCATATGTGCAATTATGGTACTCACCTTCAAAGATGGGTTGTCGCTAATGACTGACAGAATCTCATCACAAATCAATCGAGAGTTGAGTTTGTGATGGTCCTGCATCAGACTCGAGATTATACAAGTGTGGGTCAGACCCATTGATCCTATCTTACAGGAATCACTTCTCTTCCTGAAAGACATTGTTAATCGGAAGGGACACTTCTCGTTACGATAATAGATCATATACCGCGTCAGATTTGTCCAATCGACTCTATAATCGGCTGACAACTCCATGAGAAATTATTTAATTGCCCGAACACAATCTTCTTTGGTACGAAACTCGTCACCCTCTTTTAGTTGCCCTTCTGTTGTGTAGTTGGGGTTGTAGAAAATATCCGTTGAGGGTTCATTGTCACCTAAGTCGAGAGTTGTCATGTGTTGAAGTGGGCAATAAACATGGCCGGGTGGAACCCCCTCTTCCTCGTTGTTCACCATCTCGTCAATAGTGAATTCAGCTGCTTCTTCTTCTTCGTTAATGACATTGACTTCAGCGTGTTCCACGTCAGATTCGCAAAAAACTTGAGAAGAATCAAGTTGTTGAGACAGTTATTGTTGTTGTAACGTAACATGTAACACGACATCTGAGAAATCAGAATACTAATTGAAACTCTCGTATGCAGATCTCATATATCCTAAGAGATGCTAAGAACATTGATCTCTGCTAAAATAGAACAAGGACATAACATGAGCAATTTAAATCCTTTTAAAAATTAACAATGTCATGACATCTGTTGTAACATCTGCAGACTGACAGAACTATTTATCTAACCATTTAAATTGTGCAGAATTGTAAATGCTGGAAGATAAATGACACAATGAATTGTTAACCTAGTTCGGTGCAACATCACCTACATCTGGGGGCTACCAAGTCAGGAAGGAAATCCACTATTAGTAGTATTAATTCAGAGCTAAACTCCCAGTTTACAACCCCTCACTTAATCCCTACCTAATGCAATTTCTGCCTAGAACCCACTAGACAAGAGACACCTCTCACTCCCCACAATCACATCAGTGGTAAACAATTTAAAACAAAAAGTAGACTTTAGAAGACACTCTTCAAAGTCATAATACTTGATTTTGCTTAATAGCTTCAATCAAGAACAATACACTCTTACTTAAAAGCTTTGAGTGAACAATTAACAATTAACAAATACCAACCAAAACATGTCTACCACGATGCATCCAAAGATACAAAGGGTGACTTACAAAGTCATACACACAAGACTCTCAACACCCTAAACTCTTATTTTACACTCAATTTTTTCTTGTTGTGAGTGCTT